AGTACTAGCGGACCGCCCGCCTAAGTCATTATAGGACTATAATCGTTCAGATGCTGCAACTTGGACAGTGTAAACGATTATAGTACTATAACAACTCCAACACTCGCCACTGCCACGGCACGACGCCAACAGCAAGACCAAGCACAAACAGTACTAGCGGACCGCCCGCCTAAGTCATTATAGGACTATAATTGTTCAGAGGCTGCAGCTTGGACAGCGAGAATGATTTTAGTATTCTAAACACCTCCAACGTTCGCCACTGCGACGGTACGACGCCAACAGCAAGACTGAGCAGAAAAAGTACTAGGGAACCGCCCGCCTAAATCATTATAGGACTATAACCGTTCAGATGCTGCAGCTTGGACAACGTGAACGATTTTAGTACTATAACAACTCCAACCCTCATCACTGCCACGGCACGACGCCAACAGCAAGACCGAGCACAAACAGTACTAGCGGAACGCCCTCCTAAGTCATTATAGGACTATAATCGTTCAGAGGCTGCAGCTTGGACAACGAGAACGATTAAAGTGCTCTAAACACCTCCAACGTTCGCCACTGCGACGGTACGACGCCAACAACAAGACTGAGCAGGAAAAGTACTAGCGGACCGCCCGCGTGAGTCATTATAGGACTAAAATCGTTCAGAGGCTGCAGCTTGGACAGCGAGAACGATGATAGTACTAAAACAACTGCAATGCTCGCCACTGCGGCGGTACGACGCCAAACGCTCGACACACTGCACCAAAACCATTTACAGGCCGCAAACTGAACAGGAGTAAACCAACTGACACAGTGACAGAGAAAGGGGGGAGGGGGGGGGGGGGGGGGGGGGGGGGGGGGATGGGCATGGATGGATACGCACCTTGAAGTTTTTTTTTCTCGAAGCCAGCTTCTTGTTCTCGATTTGAAATTTATCGGGCACCATTTTCTTTGAAGCGAGAAGGAAGCTTAGAAGCTTATTGCCCATGGTAACCCACAATTCGGCGAAGTATTCTTTTTTGTCCAACACCCAACTCACACAAATGATTTCGCCGTAACATTTCTAGTGCGGTTTGTTCTCCGACTGAACATACAGCTTCACTCCGACAGCTGTGAGGCAAATGACCTACAAGAATGGGAGAAGGTCCTTCCGCAATTTCGTGTTCAAAAGAACTTCCCTTACCCATTTGTCTTTGATCTTCCCCGGTTCCTGCTCTTCAGCCTCTTCCATGTCGTCCCCTTCTTCCCCTTCTTCCTCTTCTTCCTCTTCTTCCTCTCCTTCGTCTTCTTCTTCCTCTTCCTCCTCTTCTTCTTCAACTTCCTCTTCGTCTTCTTTTCAAATTAGGTTCTCCTCTCCCTCCTCAGATTGGTCGTTTTCGTTTCCGCTCATTTCCTCTTCGACCTCTGTCTCTTCGTTTTCCAATCGGGTTCTCCTCTGTCTCTTCTTCACCTTCCACGTCGAACACATCCTCCACATCCATCTTAGTTGGTATCCCCTCTTCTCGGATGTTTGATCTTGGGCCCCGAGCACTGCTGCGTGATTTGCTTCCGAGGACTCGGATCCGCCCAGATTCAACTTCGCCCCTCTGTTCTTCATTTTGGACGAGCCTGCGTTATCAAAAGAACTTCAAAATTTTTTCAGTTGGTTGAACAAAAAACCGTTTGTTGTGTGGAGGAAACCAAACCAAACAGGGAAAGAAGCCTAACAGTCAAACAAACATAAATATATTGTTGCAATGTGAATCCGAGCGCACAGGTGAAAAAACCCAAAGTGCAAGGCCCAGTAACATCACCTCTTGCGCACGAGGCCAGCCACGTGGATGACAGGTTGAGCGCTGGCTGCCCCCTTCCCCGGGTGTCACAAGGACCCACTTACACGTAGCCAAAAGGGGAAGAAGCCTGACAGTCAAACAAACCGAATCACATATGCCATGGATAATCCAATTGCCACAAAACAAATAACACACCCCAGAGATCGACATTTTTTTTTTTTTTTTCCTCCGCAATTTGTACACAACGTGGTAGAAGGTCGGGAGGAAGAAGGCTTGGAAGAAGGCACGAGGGAAAGAACGCCCGAACGTGGGGGGAAGAAGGAGTGGAGGCGAGAAACCAGGCATATAGTCATGTAAAAGAATTGTTGTTGTTTTTTTCGATCAACAAGTCCAAGGTATTATTGACCGATTGATTGATGGAACACACACACACACACGCAGGCACACACAGAGAGAGAGAGAGAGAGAGAGAGAGAGAGAGAGAGAGAGAGAGAGAGAGAGGGAGTTTCTTTGTCCATTCTTGTGCGTCACCGATCTTTCACGTACACCGTACGTCAATGACGACATACATATATTGTTACAATGTGAATCCGAGCGCAAAGGTGGTCAAAACCCAAAAAAGAAGGGGAACAAGTAAGGAAGGAAAACCCCAGCCGACACACACACGCACACACACACACACACACACACACACGCGCGCGCGGGGATCGAACGCGCTGATTTTTTTTTTACTTTTTTTTTTAATTGATTGATTGATTGATTGATTGGTGGGGAAGGGGTCGCCCCCCCCCCCCCCCCCCACACACACACACGCGCACACACGCGCGCAAACCCGCTGTTTCTTTTTTTTTTTTTTTTTTTTTTTTTTTGTTTTTTTTCTTTTTTTTTTTTTTTTTTTTTTTTTTTTTTTTTTTTTTGATTGATTGATTGATTGGTGCGGAAGGGGTTGCCGTTCCCCCCCCGCACATGCACACACACACACACACATACATACACAAACATGAAAAATAAAAAAAATTCTTTTTTTTATTACATTTTTTTAAATTTAAATACTTGTTTTTTGGTTTTTTATTTTTTTAAAATGAAAAAACACTTCATAATCCAAAACAAAAAAATAGGGTTGTAGGTATCTTCAAACTCAACAACCCCATACTTTGTATTTTGTTTTTGGTCCATTAGKTTTTTTTTTTTAATATATGAATTTCTCGGCCGCACCCAACCGCAGGGGCCATGGCCTGCGGTCGCGATCCTGGCCGCGCGCCGAGTTTGACCCCGCAGTCATGACCGCGGGGGATTCATAGGCGTTGTGCATGTGCGTGTTCGTCGTGCTTGTTGTTTCTCTCACGCAGTGTTGCTCTTCCTTCACTTGGTTGAAGACAGTTCACCCATCGTCATGCCGGAGTGTACATATGCCATGGGGTTTTGTACGCCATAGGGGGGCTTTACAATTCCGTTTGCCTATTGCGGCCATGTGTCTTTCGTGTCACTGTACTGTCCATAGGCAGCACTCAGATTTTGTAGGCGGCGGCATATGCTCGCCGACATGTGGGATGGTCGTGGTAGTGGCAGGAAGGTAGGTTCTCGCCATTGAGTCTTTGGTTGTGAAGAGGGGAGAGAAGGAAGAGGCGGGAGATGGAAGAGGAGGGGGGGGGGGGGGGGGGGGGGGGGGGGGGGGGGGGGGGGGGGGGGGTGGGTTTGGTGATTGGTCATGGGAGTGGACGTTCCCGTGATGGTGATCATCACTTTGGCGGATCGGTTGTCGTAGGGATATTCCATAAACCTTTCGTTTTCTTTAACCTTTTTTTTGGAACATGGCAAATCGTTGTTCGCATCTGTTAAAGCTATCATCTAATTGTGTTGGTTGATATTGATCATTTCTACAACTTGTTGTCGCTTCCTTTTTATTCCGCTTTCATTTGCATTCGCGAATGTTATGGGTGTCGTGTGCGGGCAAGACGGTATCTCCCCGATGAGCAAAGAGTGTCGTCCACGCCGTGCGCACTTTCTCGGCCCAGGCACGCAGAGTCCGATAGATGTCGGGATGAACCGCCGAAGGGATCGCCGTGATGTCCCCCTTGAAGACGATGACGACGGTGACGTGGCTGATCCCGGGAGGGGACAGTCGTCAAATGGCCGAGATCTTGGCCAGAACGCGCGTAGTGGCCGCATCCATGAATTGGATCTCCGCCGCCGCGTGAATTGCCGCCATGCCGAAGAAGGCTGCGAATCGCAGGAGATCAGCGCAAAGATGGGGCCGTTGCACTTGACGGATGACGCTGATTCGGCCCCTCGGAGTRGTAAGTAGCCGCGCACCRATCACTTGCTCCGTTGCAAAGCTCATGGYGATGGTGGYGGRRACGGGGTACCTACGAGAGAACGAGATGAGGAGGGATGGACAGGCGATAAG